TTTTTGTGCTTTCTTGTGATCATTTCAATAAAGCGTGCTTCATTACCCTTATTTGCATTACGCTTTTTATAATAGCAATATATACAGTAAATCTGCTTTTGGTAGGCTGTCAATCAGGTGCTAGAACAAGTTTAAGAACGAAATCTGCGGTCAGTGATAGGCAGTGAATTGCAACTAACACCTACAGGTTATAGTACTGTTTAGTAATATAAAGCGATCATTGACCGAAAATTGGATGACTCGGAAAGAATTACGTGGAATGGCGATGGTGATACCATCATAACGGTTAACGGTAGCTGAGGCAAAATTTTATATCTCTGCGTTGTTTTCTGAGGCTTTTTGGCATTTTGATGCTTCATCATTCGCTCGGATTTTTTGTTTGAAAACTATCTTGACCGTTTTCTGTGTTACTGCTGGTTGTTCCTCCCAGGCCATGGCGGCTCCCCGTTGTCGTTGCACCATCTTGACTCCGTTCCGTTCTTTGTCTTGATCACATGGTTGCGGCACAGCATTGAAGATAACTTCAGCAAATATTGTCGAATAATCTGTAACTACGTATCGATTTAGTGGAAAATCTGAAAAGTCTTCCTTTCTGGTTTAGAAGCTTAAAAGCGCTGTGATATGTTGCTGAAAACCTCAAATTTGTTAACAGAATTAAGTTGAGACTGCGAAAGGCAGTATTCTGCATTTAAAGTGTTTATTAAAAGAATAATTCTTTTCAGTCTTTAACCGCTTTGAAAAACGCTCATTTTAAGATTTATGTGAAACACAAGTTATAGTATTTTGAAAAAAATGAGACAGTGATAAGCCGTACTATTTAAATGCTTAGAAAATTTCTGGTAACACTTTAGTGACGGCAACGATTTTTCGTATATGAACAGGTAATAAAGCAGGAAACCGACGGCCACTACTCCCATTCCCATTATAGCAATTTTAGCTTTTTCGAGAATGGTAACAATTACCTGGAAATACATGACCAAACTATGTAAGTTATGAAATACATTTGTCAAAAATATAAATTCCTTCAAAAAGCATTTGTGTTTTTTGCATGTCTTACTTTCATTTTTTTAAAGAATGTTTTGTTACTGTGAAATCGTCAAAAATAATAAGGGCTTTTCTTGCAAGATAGAATAGTCCAATAGAACAATGAATCTGCAAGAGGATTAACTGATTACCAGACTTAAGCATATCATGAAGAAGATTATTGACAAAATTAATGGGGTACGAATTGCATCTGGGTGAATGGCAGTTTGCTTATATCGGATCAGAAGCAGTGCTCCCATTGTAATCAAACGTTGTGCCCACTGGGTGAATCCGACATAACTTATCAGGGCATTGAGATCGCCAACAAATGACATAAACATTGCAAGAACAGCCTAAACTTTTTTTTGCAGAAAACAGTAGGAAAGGTTTATCAGGTCTTGCAGAAATATAACCTTTTTTTTCAGCAATAGCAGTTAAATAAATTATTGGTAGACTAACGTTTACAAACAATGCAGTCCTTGGACTATTACTTTCTAAATGAGTGCAACTGATGAATGACGGTAAATGGCCTTGTCGAGCAGCTGCATATAAGTACCTAAATGAATTTTTGTACTCCAGGCACTTTCAAAATGGTAGTTGATAGTGTTTGTCGTGGTAATGAACAACTGAAGAACAAACTGAATACAATTCTGGTTGCCTCATCTATACGAAGATTCTGCAAAACAGAAATCTTACCGGCTGCCAGAGAAAACTGTGGTGTTAATCGACCCGACTAAAAGAACGCATATAAGAAATGGCATTGCATATTGGAAACTACCAAGATGTTTAGCAGCGAAAGCCTAATAAGACAAAACTGTAAATGATTAGGAAAAGTCCTCTTGAATTACTGTAAATAGTTATTGACAAATCATGAGAAGTAGCCTCATTTTATGTGGTCATTAAGAAAATTAAAAATTTAGAATAGTTAAACAACGGAAGCTTACTGTTGCTACCGCGTCTGAAGTCAGTATCTCATCTACACTTAAAGCAACGAAATAAGCAACATTAGTAGCCATATAAATTATAGCAACAATGGTCATTCCCAGTATAATTGATAATGGCATAGTCCTGGAAACCAAAAACCACTCCAAACCTCCTCCAACTTACTACACTTTTAAGGAGAACTAATATGTTCAAGATTTTTTGTCAAATCGCCTAAACGACCTTAACACTAAATAAGAAAAACTCTTTTAATAGACACTTTTTATGTTATTTTCACAGCTTACAGATGCGTTCTAGTATAAGAACAAAGTACAAAAACCTTCTTGGTTTTTCGATTTCCTCGGTTCCAAAATTGAGTATATCCCATCCATCATAAGAAAAAAGACCAGCGTACAAGCTGAGAACAATACTACCAGGTTTAAGATTAGTTCCTTTGAAAGGATGAGATAAGTCTTGTATTTCACCTGAATTTAAATCGATAAAAAATTTAGCGTTGTTCATAATACTAACCAGGTTTTTCTCTGTTTGTAAAAAAGAATCAAACTAACGTCTTAAAACTACGACCTTTAACATGACTCATATAAATGACAGTATTATCTGACTAACTAAACTATCATTACGAATTGGAAAATAGCAAGAAAACTAAGATTATTGAATCTAAAAACAATAAAAACTTTTAGATTGAAAAACAACATTTTATACCTTTGCTAACAAGTAAACGATGAAATATTTCAGCAGTTTCTTAAGAAGTGCTATCAACAGCAAAAAAACTCTGTTGTACGACATCAACAATAGGTCAGTATACTGTTAACTTGTTTTTAATATTTTTAGAATTTTTAACAACGATTTCTTAAAATGATTACTTAGTAAACTTGAGCGTAATAATGTAAATCTTTGCTTTAACGAATTCTGTCTTCTCAAAACTGTTGTCTTTTCAACAGTAGACAGAATATTGTTTAAAGTCTATAATACTTCAAACAATACGAAAAAATTGTGTAATTTTGATTGTTTTTTCTTTTTAAAAATTTATTTTTTTTTAAGTTTTTTGGTACAAGTTTTTATTGGAAAGCATAAATAGATCAGAAGCGCAAACGATTCAGGAGCATTTTCTTCAAAAAAAGAATTAAAAAAATAAAAAGTGGCAGCTTTAAAAGTGTCAATTAAATGGCACTAATATTATGACAAATTTATAAAACTCATTAACAATATACTTTCTAAATTATAAAGAAAAATAGCAGCAATTTTTAGATTTTTAAAACAAGATTTTTGTGCTCTGTTAAGGGAACTGACAGATGTATAAGGTGAAAATTTTTTGCGCTTGTTAATGAACTGTTTTCAAAACACAAACAAACTTAACGTCTTATCTTCTTAAAAAAACAAATTCACTGTCTCGTTAACAAGAATTTAGTAATTAAGTTTAACTTTCCAAATTTGTAATGATAATTTCAATAAACCTCGTTTTAAAAAAGATCTAATTTTTCAGATTTAAATCAGCAATTTTTTTTTGGCATAAAACTGCAATGCACAGCTGTTTTTCTAACCGATGATTTTATGCCCTCTAATTTTATCAGTGGAAACTTTATAAGTTCATCTAATTGTTTTTCTTAAGTTCTTTAATCATATCAGTTGCCACAATTACAGCTTTCAGAGTTTCTTGACTGTTACTAAATAAAAAAAGTTGTTACTTTTCTTTGACTTTTGAAAATTGATTAAGAAAAGATAGTGATGTTGATGCAGCAAAAAAAAAAACAGTTGATACGAAGAAAAATTTTTTATATAAGTAAACAAAGAAAAAACATTGAATAATATAAATAAATGAAAAATTACTGTAATGTTATGTTTAGAAAAAAAAAATTATCTAGAAATAACAGAGCAATTAATCAGTGTAGAAAAATTGGACTTAAAACTGACCTTTAATCAGCAAAAGATAAAAACCCGTAACAATGATAATTGATGTTGATATAACCTTTGCAAAAGTTGCAACCATTTGAAATCGTGCTACGAAACGTTTCAATGAGAAAAAGTTGATAAAAACTATTAACCCTGAAAAAGCAAATAAGGTAAGAAAAAATAAAGGAAAAAATTTGACTGCCGTTTATTTAATTGAAAAACAAAAAGTAGTTATCAAGTTTTAAACTTTAGTCTTTGTCAGTAAATGTTTTTTTTTGTATGTGTGTGTGTGTTTTGAATGCTGCTATTTTTTCTTGTCTATCTGCGAGCAGTTTAAAAAATATA